AGTTTATCATGAACTGATCTTTCCTACGAGTTCTCAAATCATCTGTATTTGAGAATCGAGGCTCTGAACATACTGTAAGTGACTGATAAGTCTTGTCTTATTAGACAGACCCTCTTTGATCTTGACATAACTGTCCTGAATATTCTCATGACTGAATAACCATGACTTGATTCTTATATGGTTGAATCATCTTTGCTTGAACGCTGAAAGCTATCCCGAGACAACTACAATAGTCGCTTCGGAGTTGGGAACGTGATATTTACTGACTTACTTGACTTGATAAGGTACAACTTCAAGTTTCCAGGTAAATCTGGACTAATAGTCTGTATCTCAGACCGTCACATTTTACCCGGCTGAACAACTATTATACGTCGACCTTACTTTACGAACATAAACTGTAAATCGTGAACATTGGCTCATGACTGTGTACTGTATAGGGCTGCTCCAGTATCAACTGGTCCCGCAAGTACTGAATAAATAACTGATCTTAAACTTTGGCAACTAAATTTCGGAGTATCTAACTGGTAAGATACCCGACTTAACTGACTCTAAAGGTTGTTACTTCTGGAACTGTATTGCTCCGGTTCCAGCTTCAAGCCTCCATGGTATACCCGGCTTAGTGGCTCTTATTTCAAGCCTCCATGGCAACCCGGACTTTTGGCTCTTATACACTGAAAAACCGTTACTTGATAAAACTTGAAAATTTAACAACCTTTAATATGAAAATTTGTTGCCCTGAACTTGCTTTACTGACTTGACTTAGGAAAATTGAACTTATTCCCAGTCTAACTCAAGGAATTCCTTCCTTGGAATATGCCAACTAATTGGCAAAACAGATTATTTTCAATAGAAAATGTCTGAAGAACATGATTGCTAAGATTTGTATAACATAATTGTTTACAAATCACTGAATGAAGCTTTAACTTAATCTGAATAAATCTAGAATGGAATCTAGGGTTCTCAATCCTAGCCCCTTTCTAGAGTTCTGAAATCATACTCGGACGTCATTACTGATGACTTTATTGAAGCTGATCAATAAAGGACACAAATTTCTTGACGAGTTGCTAAACATGGCTGGGAAATACTGACATTAAAATTCCGAGTATACTGATTACTGATCCTGAACATGATTCGAGCATCTTAACTATGTCATAACTGAGGAATTTCTGAGCATAGAAATAGTAAATTGTTTATAATTTGAAACTTAATCAGCACTTACCTGGTAGTCGGCGAGGTGTGAGCGTGGCGTGGTCGGGTTTTCTGAAAACTTTCTAACTTACTGAAGTATTCAGATACACAAAAACGTGCTCTGATACCAACTGTAACACTCCGCTTTTCCATAAATATCAGAGCGCATTTTTCGCAAATTCTTTTCTTAATAATACATATTTATTTGCGAAATCCTTTTCGGGATGCTACTAAAATCCATTCATTGCTTAAGAAATCCGTTACCATTATTTAAATTTAACCTTGAAGAATAAACGGATTAACTTAGATCAACTTGCATGTAACACTTTATAAAAATCTGTCTGATAACTCAGTTTAAAAATAAAAACTGACATGCTAGTTGAAATATCGTAAAGTGACAGCGGAAGTCATACGTGGCAGAACATAGCTGTACAATAATGTACAATGGCTGCTAGCCAAATCTCTGACCACGATCCACAAACCAGCTCACTCCTCTAGTCCGACGCTGTAATCTGAAAAACATGATAAAACTGGGGAGTGAGCACTAAGGCACTGTGCTCCGTGGAAACTCATGCTAATGTAAGACATCGTAAATAATAACAATATCATGAACTAAGCATATATGTCTGAACTGAACTGATACCGGTCTGAACTCGCGACCGAAGTCACGTACTCGCGACCGTAGTCACGTAACTGATAACTGATCTCGTGACCGAAGCCACGTAGTGACCGAAGTCACATCTGAACTGAACATCTGCCGGCGAACCGGACACCATGTGCACACTCTAGTGGGCAGACTAGGGCCACTAGAACCCAGAACGGACCGGCGGCCATTCCGAGCGGATACTGAAAATACATACCTTGTACATGGTAGAGCAATTATAAACAATGTAGTACTTAGTCTGAGTCCCCACCTGAACTGCTGGTCTGAAAATGTAAGTGCTGATCATCTGAATCCTGAACAAACTGAAAATAATATAAACAATTACCATTTACTATGCTCAGACTAATAAAAATAACTGATTAACATGTTAAGATGCTCTACTGAACTTAAACATGATATCTGAACTTAACCGATATGACCGGAACTGATTAAACTCGGAACTGGACTAACATGAATTTACTGAACTGGACCGGACCCGGAATTTTAACTGAAATTGGGACTGAAATCATGAACCAGGACTTAAATCATAAAAATATAAGTGAACTAGTCTAACCGGTCTTAACCGGTCTGGCCGGACCGCCGGTCTACTCGGACTGGTCGGTCGGCGGCTGACTCGGTCAACAGCCTATTAATACTGCGTCTGCTGGCATGACTGTGCACGGGCACAGATTGTGCACAGCACAACTGGCGTGACTTGGCGCGGCATGAGACTACCGGCCTTGTTGGGCATGATTTGGGTGCAGACACGGCAACGCGGTGCCTCACAATTCTTGGCTAAACTCAACCCTCGCACACCGGCATGCTACGGGGTGCGATTGAACACATTAAAAGGCACTGCCGAGTGCTATATGCATCGGCTGTTATACGTCTAAGCACCGTCGAGTGTTACCGCACACTACGACGTGCGTTTTAGTACTTAAACTCGCACGCGAGCATTAACTGGGCATGACTGGCACCATGCGAGGTGCTGCCGTGACCGACTGAACCTTAATTAATAGGGCTAATCATAATTTAACATAACATGACTAATCCCATATATAATGGTTGAATAACATGAACATAATTTGTTGAGACGAAAAGGGCCGCGGCTTGTGCTATTTGCGTAGCCTGCGGCTTTGTCCAATCCCTCGGCTACTCTTCAATTGTCCTCGACAACTATAGCATAACTGAACATGATAAATCTTACAATGACTAAAGAAATAAAATTTACTCGAGAGTTGTTGGATCGAAATGAACCTAACCCGATATAACTCGAGTAACAACAACTGTGAGCAAACCATGACTAATTCACGAATACAACTACATAATTTGGACATAATAACCGTAGCTTGCTTCTAAATGAAGTCAAGAAGAAGTTACCTTTCTAACTGCTCAATCAATTTACAGAATTTCCACAATTGCTTGGCCTTAGTTTGTCCGCTCGAACGTGCGTGAATATGCAAGAAAATATCTTAAACTAGCTTGATTATTCTAACTTTTGAGCTTATTATTATGCTTAAGTGTCTTTATAATTTCTCATCCTCTTCTCTGATTTCTTAGCAGGTAAAACGAAAATGAAATGAATTAAAATGAAGATGATGTGTGTGGCCAATTGACTTCCTCCATGTGCTCGGCATCTAGAGCCTTAAGTGGATTATTTATGCTTAGTCATCACTTTTCTATCTTAGTCACCAATTGGAATGCTATCTAACTGCCACCTATGACAAGTGAAATGATGATATTTCATATAAAAGCTTCCCAATTTCTTTCGGCAATTACTAGTACCAAGCATGACTTTAGGAAAATAGTCAAGCATGATTATAATTAATCAGTATGGCTTAGTATTACTATAAACGTACAATAGTCACACTTGGTGCTAATTAAATGAGTACGTGCCTCACGTTGGGTGTACTTAGCTATACACAATTTGTACACAAATTTAGTTAACTTATAATTAACATGATTAAGCTCGGTAAAATATTTATCGAGTAATTAAACATGAATTAATTATCGGAATAAGTTCCGAACATAAACTTGATATTCGAAACTTAATTCGAATAACCTCAATTTAACCTTATTAGTTCCAAACTCATATATTAAAACGAATTGGAATTATTTCTAATATTTATTCGGTTACTGAAATGATTAAACCGAATATCTTATCGACTAAAAGTCGAATTTTTAACTGAAACTGAATAATTGACTTGAAATCAACTTTGACAATTAATGGAATATTCTCAATTTGATTAATACATCCATATTGAAGTAACTAATCCCCACTTGCTGACGTCCATTTACTAAAATAAACGGAACAAGATTAATTACTATTATTGACTCGGTTAGAATTAACCGGAAATGTACTTTTCCACTTAACGTCGAACTTAAAATCTGATTGACTGATTTGCTTGAACTTGAACATGAACATAACTATTTATTAACAAAGGCTAGCTTAATATTAAAAGCTAGTAATTCCTTTATTAATAAAACTCGGGGTGTTACACAGGATGGCGAAATCACCCTAATTTCTCTTAAACAATAACAACAATGTTCAACAGCCTCGTCAGAATTTCGCTCCACAACAACCTAGGCCCATTTATGTTCCTCAACAGCAAATGAGGCCAAACTATCCACCACAACAGTTCCAACAACAAAGGGGACAAATTGCCGGGATGCAAAACCAGGGGACCGGACAAAGTTCGTCTCCTCAAGATGATAGGTGGGATAAAGTTCTCCAATTTATGACTAACCAAGAGTCATCAATCAAACGCCTAGAAACCCAAGTGGGAAAACTAGCCACTAGGGTTGGAAATATTGAGGCAGAATCTGACAAAGGAAAACTTCCCAGTCAACCTATGGAGGCCAAGGCAATAACGGTGTTGCGAAGCGGAAAGGTGATCGATAATCAGGTGGAAATGCCAACTCCACCTGGAACAAAAAATCAAGTTCCATTAACAAGAGACGAGATCGCGACAACAAACAAAGATGGAGATGCAGAAAAGGATACGAGGGACTCACTATTACATAAAGCCACAAATCCATACAGACCTCGTATACCTTTTCCAGGACGATTAAAGGACGAGAAGCAAGAACAACAATTCTGAGACCTCTACAACATGCTCTCGAAGGTTAATGTAAACCTTCCACTATTTGATGTGATAAAAAATATGCCTTCCTATGTAAAATTTTTTAAAGACTTGGTGACGAAAAAGAGAAAGTTTGGAGATGGCGAGAAGGTGGTCGTTTATGAGGCGGCAAGTGCAATGCATCATGACTTGCCAAAAAAAGAACGTGATCCCGGGGGTTTTATAATAAAAATTGCCCTTGGGAATGGGAAAGAGGCTTCAGGGATGCTCGATCTCGGAGCAGGAATCAACCTCATGCCATTTTCAATTTTTCAAAAGCTTGGACTTGGCGATTTAAGGCCAACCCGAATGTGCCTCCAACTTGTCGACCGATCGATTCGATACCCCAAGGGGGTAGTGGAGGATGTCCTTGTTCGTATCGGGAAACTCATTGTTCCGGTGGATTTTGTGGTTTTGGATGTCGGAGACGTACTGGAGAATGGGAAGGATCACACTATCCTTCTTGGCAGACCTTTCATGGCTACCACCAACACATTGATAGATGTAAAGAACGGGACATTGAATATGATGGTCTTGGGCGAATCGGTATCCATATCGGTTCGAGAAGCTATGTCAGCATCCTCGGTACTTTTTATTGAGGAATGTGCCTTTGTTGATAAGACAAATCCATTAATCGAGGAGATAGCTGTTCGAGATTTGGAGGAGAGATCGATGCTAAATTTTACTGAAGGAGAAGAACCGACCATCGAACTCTTTGAGGTCGAGAAACACCCGCAAATTGAACAACCACCACTAGAATTAAAGGAACTTCCCTCACATCTCAAATACATATTCCTTGATGACGAGAAGCGGAAGCCAGTGATATTTTTTGCTGAACTCAATCCGGAAGAGGAAAGAGAGCTTGTCGGGGTGTTAAGGAAAAATCAAAAAGCTATCGGTTGGAGTCTAGGTGATATTAAAGGCATCAGCCCTTCCACGTGTATGCACCGGATAATTCTAGAAGATGGAGCCAAGCCATTTCGGGATAGCCAACGAAGGCTAAATCCAAACATGATGGAGGTTGTAAAGAAAGAAATATTGAAACTCTATTCCGAAGGGTTGATTTACCCAGTGGCTAGTAGCGAGTGGGTAAGCCCGATCCATGTGGTGCCAAAGAAGGGAGGCATTACCGTGATAGAAAATGACAAGAAAGAGATGGTTGCTACTCGGATCACTACCGGGTGGCGGATGTGTATTGATTACCGACGACTTAATGCGGCCACCAAAAAGGATCATTTTCCGTTGCCATTCATCGACCAGATCCTTGACAGATTATCCGGTCATCAGTTCTATTGTTTTTTAGATGGACTCTCGGGTTACTATCAAGTAGCCATAGCACCGGAGGACCAGTCCAAGACGACGTTTACATGTCCTTTTGGCACGTTTGCTTTCAGGAGAATGCCTTTCGGCTTGTGCAATGCACCAGGTACATTTCAGAGGTGTATGTTTTCCATTTTCTCGGATATGTTAGAGGATTGCTTGCAGGTATTCATGGATGATTTCTCTATTTTTGGTAATTCATTCTCTCATTGTTTGCAAAATTTATCTCGTGTCCTTCAACGTTGCATAGAGTCGAATCTTACTTTGAGTTGGGAAAAAAGCCACTTCATGGTGAAAAGTGGAGTGGTTTTGGGTCATGTTGTTTCTCATAGGGGGATTGAGGTCGATAAGGCTAAAGTGGATGTTATTGAAAAACTTCCCCCTCCTGTGAATGTCAAAGGAATTAGGAGTTTTCTGGGACATGCCGGTTTTTATAGACGTTTTTTTCAAGATTTTTCAAAAATTAGCCGGCCATTGTGTCATTTGTTATCTCAAGATGTGTCTTTTATTTTTGATAATGATTGTTTGAGAGCTTTCAATGAATTGAAAAATAAACTTGTGAGTGCCCCGATTGTTATTGCTCCTGATTGGTCATTTCATTTTGAAATAATGTGTGATGCATCAAACTTTGCAGTAGGCGCCATTTTAGGTCAACGTATTGATAAATTACTTCGAGTAATTTATTATGCTAGTCTGACCCTTAACGATGCTCAACAAAATTACACCACTACCGAAAAAGAGCTTCTAGCAGTAGTTTTTTATTTAGAAAAATTTCGATCTTACATTTTGGGATCGAAAATCATTGTTCATTCAGATCATGCGGCTTTAAAGTACCTTCTAAGCAAAACACATTCAAAACCACGACTCATTCGGTGGATTTTGTTATTGCAAGAGTTTGATGTAGATATAAAAGATAGGAAAGGGTCCGAGAACGTAGTGGCTGATCACTTATCACGCATTGTACCATCTGATCCTTCATCCTCATTGTTTGTGCATAGTTCCATTCATGATGATTTTTCTTATGAGCATGTGCTCGAGCTTTCAAAAAATGTTTGGTATGCAGATATTGTCAACTTCTTATGTTGTTGAATTTTGCGACCTAATCTTTTTTCCCAAGAGAGAAAGCGATTTGTTTCTATGTGCAGAGGTTATTTTTGGGACGAGCCATTCCTTTTCAAAATGGGGAAGGACGAGGTGCTCAGAAGATGTGTACCAGAAGAGGAGCAAGTTGATGTCCTCACTTTTTGCCATGAATTTCACTGTGGAGGACATTTCGGAGGTCAGAAAACCGCTTTCAAAGTTCTTCAGTCAGGTTTGTTTTGGCCTACACTTTTCAAAGATGCTCATACTTTTTGTCATGCTTGTGATCGATGCCAAAGAGTTGGGAATATCGGTCCTAGAAACGAGATGCCCCTTGTAAATAATTTACAAGTAGAAATTTTCGATGTATGGGGTATCGACTTTATGGAACCATTTCTTAAATCGTTTGGTTTCGAATACATTTTACTCGCCGTAGATTACGTGTCCAAATGGGTTGAGGCTATCCCCACAAGGACATGTGATGCTAATGTGGTCATCAAGTTTTTGCGTAGCAATATCTTGAGTAGGTTTGGATTTCCACGAGCAATTGTGAGTGACGGTGGCAAATATTTTTGCAATCGTATTTTTGAAAAGTTGATGAAGAAATATGGGATTTCACATAAGGTGGCTACTGCGTACCATCCACAGACGTCGGGTCAAGCCGAAACGAGCAACAAACAAATAAAGAACATTTTGGAGAAAACCGTGAATTCATCACGGAAGGATTGGTCGAGTCATCTCGACGACGCTTTGTGGGCTCAAAGGACCGCATTCAAAGGTGTATTGGGGATGAGTCTATTCCGACTCATTTACGGAAAAGCATGTCATCTTCCCGTTGAAATGGAACATAAGGCATTTTGGGCTATCAAGAAAATGAATGTGGATATTGATGCTGCTGGAAAAGAACGAGCTTTGCAATTATCCGAACTCGAAGAATTGCGAAATGAAGCCTATGAAAATTCTAAGATATACAAAGACAAAGTAAAAAGGCTTCACGATGCTCACATCATCCGGAAGGAATTAACACCGGGTATGCAAGTTCTTCTTTACAATTCTCGACTCCATCTTTTTCCGGGAAAGCTGAGATCTCGGTGGAGTGATCCTTATGTCATCGATGAATTATTGACTTTTGGAGCGATCCGCCTCCGTAACATATCAACGGGAGAATTATTTGTTGTCAACGGACAACGAGTCAAGCCATACGTCGTCGGAAAACTTGGAAATAATTACGTCGAGACTATCACTCTTGACGAACCTTCACAGGAATGATCGACAAATTCTGAGCCGAGCTCCCGGCGTTAAACCGAGAAAATATGTATATATATATATATATTAAAAAAAAAAAAATAAAAAATAAAAATTAGAGGTAGCGGCGCTACCTCTATAGTAGCGCCACTACTATTACTTCAGAGAACAACCCCCCCTTGCCGCTACTACCCAGTAGCGCCGCTACATTACAGGCAGCGCCGCTAACCCCTTAGTAGCGGCGCTACCTCTTCAGAATTTATAAAAAAAAAAAAAAATCCTTCTTCTTCATTTCTTCCTTCTCTCTTTTCTTCTTCGCACTCACCGGCGATTTTTTCTTCGAAATTTTTTCTTTTTTTTTTGACAACTTATCACCTCTAAACAACACAACATTCGCCCAAGATCAACCCAACATCATAATCATCTACCTAAACTTTATAATTTTTCAAATTCTCCACATATAAACCCTCCATTTCCAACTAATTTTGAAGCTTTCAATTTGTGGGAAAATTTCGAGCTCCAAGGTACGATTGCTCTTTATTCTCATTCATTTGGATTGATTGTGGCTAGAGGACGCCGAAGTCCGGGTTACTACATTGCAAATCGTCCACAACATCCTTACCAAATTTGCCGCCCGCCAAGTGTTCGATAAAAATACTGATAGAAAGCAACATGGTGAATACTAAGAAAACAACGAAGAAAGGTGCCGCTCGACATTCAAGAACAAAGGACGAGCTTCGTCGAGTGCCGCCGGCCAACCTCCCGCATCCGAAAGGCAAACTTTGGCCGAACAACATGGTGTTCCTTTTTATGTTGAGTCCATCGAAGAGGTGAATGATTACCTCCGGCTTGCCGCAAAGCCATTCCTTCCTCCTCGAGAATTTGATTGGGGCATCATAAACGATCTTCATCTCACCGAAGATGTCAACCGGCTACTTGCATTGCTCGGTCTCACATCTTTTGAGCAACGCGTTCACGAGTCTCACAAAGCCCTCACGCTTGAATTTTCTCCACTGTCAAGATGCACGACAACGGTAGATACCTCACGGCTCGTCTAAAGGGAAAGGAATATCAAATCACGGACGAGGTGTTAAATGAGCAATTTGAATTGGAGGTCGAGAATGCCGTTCGTCATAGCCCGATGGGATGGAAGGCAAACCCGTATTGACCTCAAATTTCTCCGTGCACAACATTTCAGAGACGAGGGGCTTTCTCTGGTTGTATGACCGATGTAGCTTTGGGGATTGTCCACAAGTATATTTGCCACATGATTTTCGGCAAAAAGGAGA